GTCCCATGAGGCCTTGCAAGACTCTGACAGCCACAGGCAAGACTCCCAGAGGCAGAGGCATGTTGGGATTTGTAGTACTTCAACAGCTGGAGGGCCATAGTTTGGAGACCCCTGCTCTAAAAGGAGTGGTACTGGAAAGTGGTTAGGGGTGGAGTTAAGGGATAGTGCTCGGGGATGGGTAGGGGGCAAAGACAGGGGGAAACTTGGAAGGGGAGAGTAGCTGTACCTACTCTCTGAGGAATAAAAGAGTGTAGGTATCTGAATTTGACTCAGTATCAGCATGTGACTCCTGTACAACAAGAGTCCACACTGGGGCAAGGAAAAGAGAAAAAAGAACCAACAATTTGCTGCAATGCTCATAATCTATCAGAACATGCTGATGCAGAGTAACAGAGAGCAGATCACATTATTCTGCTGCTCCTTCTTTCACTGTCCAGTCAATGGTTGGGGTAGAGACTAGACCTGTAAGTGTTACCTAACTGTAGCAGAGATCTACTGACTGATGGCAGTGGGCAGTGTTCAAGTACTTTCTGTTAAGTACTTGTAGTATGCAGTCTATTGAGGTAAAGTGCAGGGGACATCAGTAGTCTAATATAGTCTGTATAAAGAGGACCTATCACCGGTAAAATGCTCTCTGATAAAAACAATTCTTCAGGTTCTCTGCTTTCTGAAAATATATAATGTTTTCAGGGGGTTTAGCTATTCTTCATGTCAAAAATGGGCATTTTTACAATGTGTGATTGGAAAAAAAAAAATATAGTGTGGCAGCGAAAGGATTAAACTGTATATTTAGCGGTTTGCCTGGAATACCATTTTAACGAGAGAGAATTTGATCAATGAACCAAATCTGTGATGCAGGCCCACAGTCTAAGATGTAATTTTTTCAATCCTACTGGCAGTAACAAAATTGCTTACCTTTTTTGGAGAAACAACTGCTCCGATCTTTCTCCAGTACATGCTCAGTCGGCAACCCCAGAACTGTGATGGGCGTCTCACAGTCAACTACTGACAATTCAGGTTTGATACTGTTGACTTGATAACATCGGCGGCTCACAGATTGCCTTCACCAGTTGCCTGACATTGGTTGTTGGTAGTTCTTACCTTTTCATTTTTTGGGGGAGAAGGAGGCGTCATGGCTGACTGCAAGCGTTTCTCAGCTAGCTCAGCATGGTCTGCCCCAATAGCTGGGCTGGGAGCAGGGGCAGACTGACCATTCGAGCACTCGGGCACTGCCCGAGGGCCCGGGGTCAGTAGGGGGCCCCATGAAATGCCCCTGTTATCTTTTTTTATAGGCTTTTTTTAGTGTGGGCAAGGACACAGGGGCCCCATGATCCCCTATTGCCCTGGGGCCCCATGAGTTGTCAGTCCGCCCCTGCCTGGGAGTCCAATTCTTAATAACATAAAAAAAGAGAAATAGAGCAAGAATCACATACAAGCAGCTTGCAATCTAGGCTGATTTACACACACCAAATATAAAATGCGTTGTGATGATTGCAGCGCAAAATTAAATAACATAAAGAAATAATACATGATGCTCAAATAAATATCAATATGTATGTTCAACACCAAAAGGCCACTACATAATCAACAGTGATTGTCCTTTAAATATTACTAAGTGACAATCCTCTGAAATCTGTGCAAGGGGTTATCCATCAGAGAATGTGTCTCCACCTCCCGTGAATAGGAAAAGGAGAACGAACCTATAAGAACCAAATGCTGCCAAGATTTAAGCCACAAACAGTGTTCAAGGTAATGTAAGTGAGGCATTCTCTCATTCATTCCAGATCGCGATCAGGACATGTAAATTCTCCACTCATCCCACTAGGGCGGCAGTGTTCACTGCTCATCATGGAAAGCTCTCCACCAATGCATAAAGCAGGCATCATACAGTAGTCAGGTCCATCTTTAATATTGAATGGACCCTGGGCAAATATCTTCTTGGCCCCCTCCCCATGAACTTTGCACCTCGATCATTACACAGGACCCCCTCTCCATATTGCCCCCATTATCACACAAGTCCCTCCTCCCCCACCATTACACAGGATCCCTCCCCCATACTTCCCCATCGTTACACAGAACCCCCCCATTATTACACAGGATCCCCATCCCACATCATTACACAGGACCTCCCCCCCCCCCCATGCTACCTCCATCATTACACAAGACCTCCTCCTCCATACTACCCCATCAATACACAGAACCCCTTCCCCCATTCCTCCCCCTCCCCTTATTCCACACGACCCCTTCCTCTATACTAACCCTGTCATTACACAGGACCCAATGGCTGGAGAGGCATGGAGTGGGGATGTCATTGAGGGTGCAGAGGCAAGGAGGAGGGGGGGTTATCATTGAGGGTGCAGAGGCGGGGAGGGGGGTTATTGTTGAGGGTGGGGAGGAGGGTCATTGTTGAGGGTGGAGATGCAGGGAGGTGGGTTATCATTGAGGGTGGAGAGGCGGGGAGGGGGGTTATTGTTGAGGGTGGGGAGGAGGGCCATTGTTGAGGGTGGAGAGGCAGGGAGGTGGGTTATCATTGAGGGTGGAGAGGCGGGGAGGGAGATTATTGTTGAGGGTGGAGAGGTGGGTTATTGTTGAGGGTGGAGCAGCGGGTAGGGGGGGTAATTGTTGAGGGTGGAGAGGCAGGGAGGAGGGTTATTGTTGAGGATGGGGTGGGGAGAGGGGTTATTGGTGAGGGTGGGGAGAGGGTTATAGTTGAGGGTGGAGAGGCAGGTTATTGTTAAGGGTGGAGAGGCAGGGAGGGGGTTATCGCTAAGGGTGGAGAGGCAGGGAGGGAGGTTGTTGGGGGTGGGGAGGAGGATTATCATTGAGGGTGGAGAGGGGGGTTATCATTGAGGGTGGAGTGACGGGGGGGGGGTTATTGTTGAGGGGTGGGAAGGTGGGTTATTGTTGAGGGTGGAAAGGGAGGTTATTGTTGAGGGTGGGGAGGGCATTATAGTTGAGGGTGGAGATGCGGGGAGGGGGTTATAATTTAGGGTGGAGAGTCAGGGAGGGGGGTTATTGTTGAGGGTGGAGAGGTGGGGAGGGGGGGTTATTGTTGAGGGTGGAGAGGTGGGGGTTATCATTGAGGTTGGAGAGGCGGGGGAGGGGCATTATTGTTGAGGGTGGAGAGCTGGCAGTTGGTCAGTCCTGGTTGCCAATAGACTTCACAAGCATCCTTCCTCCATATTCTGCTATGGAGCAATGGCTGGGAAATGCAGGAAGGGGGGGGGGTATTTGGGGTTTAAGAACATGGAACCCCACAGCTGACAATTACTGTCCCGCACTACTACACCCAGAAGCCCTGCCCACCCCCTCTGAGAAGTTCTGCAGCAAAGTTGTTAGAGGTGGGTGGAGGGGGAGCCGGCTAAGTGAAGGACACATAGTCATCAAGCGATACGCACACACCAATCACCTGGAGAGCGAAGTCTCCGGGCATCCGCACACAGAAGACCGGGGAGGGGCGCAGCACATCTCTGGGGAAGAGACTTGTCAGTGAGGTCACACTGAGCTAATGTGAGACGGCAGGGCTAGTAGAGGAGACACTACTGGGGAAACTTAACCCCTGCCGGATACAAAGGTACTGGCAAGGGTCAAAACTGATGGCCAAATGTACTTGCACTTTTCTGGGTGGGCTCAAGCGGCAGCTGCTTTGAGCCCCACAAAAATACCTGGGCCCAGGGCAGATGCCCCTGTTGCCCCGCGTTCAAGACGGCCCCAGTGTAGTATTTATTAAAGTTCATTCACAACATACAAATCCACGCAAATTGATACAAAACCTTAAGTATGTACAATAGAGATGCTGCTAATCCACTTACATCAACATCCTCCACACAGTAAACCGATGTGGTGGCGTGACGTCACATGTATAGCTCCTTCCAATGCATTTCGTGCCACTATGAGTCTTCATGGGCCTATGATTAACATATACAGGAGAAGCTCACCTCCTAAACCTTTAACTCTATCTTAAGACAGTGTTCAGATCTGGTACAAATGATGAAATAAATTATGCCTAATGCGGTTTCCCAGCCCCTTCATAACAAAGAGAAATAAGTAGAAATTTTATTGGTGGAAGTTCCATAAAGAGCATTAAAAATGTAGGCTGCAATTTGTATATTTTTTTTATTGGATATGCTATGTGAATAGGGAAAGGAATAAAATTAAAAGTAGGTATTCTCCTAATTTCACAGCAGAAGTGGATATACCATTTAACCCTTTCACTATCAGAGCCATTTTTTTTTAGTCTTTTCCTGACATTTAAAAAAATCACTTTTGGCCACAATATTCTATAAACCCCCAAAACATTATATATTTTCTGAAAGAAGACACCCTAGATAGTAAAATAGTGCTAGTACCATTTTTTTTAAGTGACATGGTAGTAGCACAGAAGTTTTGGAAACAAACTTTCAGTAAAAAATACTTTAAAATAAATTTTAGGGCACACAAATTCAATAAATTATCCAATATTTAGTAAAACATAAAATATGAGGTTGTGTCAAGCAAATGGATAACCAGCATGTGAAACTTTACCCACTTGCCCTCCAGAGGATTTACCCCCCAACCCCTTCCTGACCAGGATATTTTTTTGTAATACAGCGTTGCATTCATTTAACTGACAATTGCGCGGTCATGCAATGCTGCACCCAAATGAAATTTATGTTGTTTAATTTCCCACAAATGGAGCTTTCTTTTGGTGGTATTTGATCGCCTGTGTTTTTTATTTTTTGTGTTATAAACAAAAACAGACCGACAATTTTGAATACAAAAAACTGTATTTTTGACTTTTTGCTATAAAAACATATCCAGTAAAAAAAATTTTTAAAAAATCAAATTTCCTCATAAATTTAGGCCAAAATGTATTCTGCGACATGTCTGCTGAAAAAAATCGCAATACGTGTAAATTAATTGGTTTACGGGAAAGTTATAGCGCCTACAAATGGCAGTATGTATACTGGAATTTTTAGTTTTATTTTTTTTTATACTAGCAATGGCGGTGATCAGCGACTTATAGTGGGACTGAGGCGGGCATTCTGACACTGGTTGTGAACTAACTGCCACTGAAATCCCAATGACATTAATACAGTGATCAGTGCTAATAAAAAGCACCGACACTGTACTAATGACACTGGGCAGGCAGGGGTTAACATCTAGGGCGATCAAAGGGTTAACTGTGTGCTGTTTAACATAATGTGCTGTGTGTGTTTTACTAGGGAGACATGCTGCCGTGTATTTATCTCCTGTGCGGGGAAATACACTGCAGCATGTTATTGCTGGTAGGAAGAGAGAACATGGTTTACACACAGGTCTCTTTCCTGACAGTGTTACTCAGCGATCGCTGGGTGCCGGTGGGGAATCTCTTGCCGGGACCTGGCGACTGACATTTGAAAAAAAAAAAAAAACCCAGAGGTGATCAAATACCACCAAAAGAAAGCTCTAAAATTATATAAATTTAATTTGTGTACAGCATTGCATGACCGTGCAATTGTCCGTTAATGTAACTCTATCAATACAGTGCAGTAAGTGAGCGTTGTCACCCTATGACAGGAAGTGTGTTATGGACAGGATCACCAGGTGAAAATCAAGGAAAAAGAATACTTAGGGCTCATGTACACTGCAGCTGATAAACTCACGTTTAGGAACTGTTCAGCGTTTTTTTCAGCAGCCCCTGAACTCACCCGAAAGTTTTCCTATGTGTCCATGTACACATCTTCGTTTACAGGCATTTGAGTTTACAGTCGTGTTTTTGAATGCAGGAAACTTGCATTTAGCAGTCGATTTTATCAGTGTTTCAAACACAGAATGCTTCTAAACGCGGCAAATCGCGTTTATAAGCGTTTGCATTTGAACTTTTTTTTAACTCTTCCAGTACCTGTTACTGTCCAGAGCCTTTTTTCATCATGAAAAATGCATGCAAAGCCTTTTCAAGGTACTCAAATGGACAAAACACTGAACACAGGATGTTCCTACCAAGCTTGTCACACATTGTAATGACCAATTCACACCTCAGACCTCTCCCACCCTTGGAAACAAAAGGTGACCTTAATGACTCACTCCACCAGAAACCTTTCCCACCCTTGGAAACAAAAGAAATATTAATGAGCAACTCACACCTAAGCTAATCTCAACACTTACTGCTGTCTCTGCTTCTACTCTCTGTATTTCTCTGAAAGTCTGAAATAGTTAATAATTTTCCACTTTTCAGTGCATTCTGGGCATTTGGGAGGTTCTTCTGTGCTTATCTTTAAAAATGCTTCTAAACGCAAACGCACATAAACACGGTATGCAAACGCGGCTAAACAGACATTTTTTAACCTACGTTTTCCAGCAGTCAGTTTCCTTCGTTCATAAGTGTCCCATGTACATGGAGCCTAATGCAGTCACAACATCTAGGGTCTGAGGAGCTCCAAAAATATCATATTTGTGTTCTTGGGATTGGATATATTGTAAGTGACAGTGCTCATGTCTTTCTCCAGGTATTAGAGGAATCCAAATGTCTTGTGAGAAGCTTTCTGAAATCAGTACTGGAAGATGTGAACGAACGCGAATGCCAGATGCTGAAACAGCTGTGGAGCTCTCCCAAAGGCTTGGACTCCTTATTCAGCTACTTACAGGACAAAATCTATGAAGTCTGATTCCTTCTCATCAGACCCATTTTGAAGGCTTTCCTCTCCACTACTTCCGTCTTCACATCTGCAGTAACCTTGAAAGACGTCTGGGACATGCTAGCCATGCCCAGAATTATGCAATGAGGTATTCCAAGGAGTCTGTCCCACTGCTTCCAGCCTAGTTTTGTTTTTTTTTTTTTGTTTTGTTTTTTTTTTTTTTTTTGTTTTTTTTTTTTGTTTGTTTTGTTTTGGGTTTTTTCTGTTTTTTGTTTTGTTTTTTTTTTCTGTTTTTTTGTTTTTTTTATGTATATACCATATACTGGTATATAGACCCTATATACCGATTACTGAAACTTCCACCTCTCCACGCACCGAAAGTTACATTCCATTTGCCACAGCGTACATTTCACCCAGAATATTACTATGTGACCCGTTTTCTGCCATTTCACTTAACTATGCGATCGTTGTGATCATGCAGAAGTCTGCAGATTTAATTTAAGTAATAATGTGACAATTGCACTTTGTATGTATTTGTATTTTATTTAAACTTAAGTATTGATAATTTATGTATATAATTGGGTTTTGATGGGGGGGGGGGGGGTGTGTTTTTTTTTAGTGAGACATCACATGCTGTTCTGTAAAATAGCCAATTTAACTAATTTATTGTAGTTATATTGTCAGCTAGTAAGCAGATTTTTTTTTTTTTTTTTATGTTTTTTTTTTTTTTTTTTTTTTTTTTTTTATTTGAGTTTTATTTTTTTTTAAGCCGTCCCTATGTTGTACAAAAAAAATTGTGACTTTAATATAACCTTTACACAGAATATACAATTTGGTGTTGGATTGAGCTGGTGAGGGTAGCCTTCGCAATATTACTATTTTAGCTCCAGATGACAATGATTGGCTGTAAAGTTTTGGGGGGTTTTTTTGTTTTATTATTTTCTTTTTAACCTGCTCTACTTCTCTGCCTGCTTATGGCTGCCTGTCAAAATTAAATGCATTTTTTATCTGCTGACATCAGACAGATGTGAGCAGCTAGGCAGAGGTAACCATCACCGGAAGAACATGATAACATGACTGGACCTTTACATGGAGGATGCGGATATGTAATTATGCCTGAAGGTTACCCCACCATCTTCCATCTAGAGCAAAATGAAATTCTGTGGTGCTCTTTGTTACTGCCTTGTTACATTTACTTAAGGTATAACTAAAGACAAAACTTTTTTCTTTTTTTTTTCTTTTTAAGTTTTGGATAGAGTGGAGAGGAATTAGAACCCCTGTCAATTTTTTTTGTTTGTTTTTATTTTTTTTATTATATCTTTTATTAGATTTTTTTTTAAATACAAAAGAAAAGAACATCAAATACACACATATTTGGGTAAATAACAAAAGCCATGACAAGCTTCTCCAATGCATCCCCACAACCCCATATCATAATTTTCCTACTCCCCTCATCCCACCCCTTTGCCCCTTTTAGGCTCCCTAAAACCACGCCACTTTCCTGACAGTTTTTATTACCATCTGTGCCCCCCGTAGGGTGATTCACCGTCTCCATTTGAGATTTACATTCACTTTCAATGATATTGATAAATATAATTGAAAGTGAATGTAAATATAAAGATAAATATCAGTATCATTGAAAGTGAATGTAAATCTAAAATTTTGGGTTGTCCCCATAAAATCAATAGAGGGGAAATTTTTCAATGAGGACTCTAGTCCTGGTGACCTGGAGGGTCCCCAAGGAAATCCCTTAATTTGCAGGGATTTCCTCTCACTTCCTGTTTGGCAATGGGACAGGAAGTGAAGGGAAATCTCCAAAATGGGACACAGATGACAAGAAAAAAAAATCTGACAGGGGTTATAACCTTCCCTTTCTCTATCCAAAATGAAAACAAAAGGTTTTGCCTATAGTTCTACTTCAAAGTGAACCTATGACCAGGTATGGGCATTCAAGTATTTTTGCAATCATAACACACACAGTAAATGCACTATACAACAAGCCCCTCGCTGACCTCTTTATCTGAAGGAACACTAGAGCTATTTATCCTCAAATATTATGGCATAAACATTAAAATTGTCCGTGTTCCTTAAATTACATCTAAAGGCTCCTTATGACCGTCTAAACAAAGACTAGGTGTGGTCAGGTGCTGATTGACAGGTGACAGGCTTATAAATCAGCAATGACAACACCATGCCCTCTGCAGCATTTTTTCATCCCATGGTAGTGCAAGCTGGCACAACCTACAAGAAAGTGGCAACTCTGCTCCTAATTCAGGAGCAGTGCAGCATTGTTGTCACATGATCACAGGAAGCTGCATTAGGTGGAGGCTATTTGTGGGACTTTGCAGGAGCCAAATATACTGCCAATATCTGCAGCCGTGATTCCCAGTGTTAGTGTACCGCCACCGAATGGAAGCCTGTACAACTCCATGACAGACAGCTGTCTACCACTGTAAATATATATTTCAAATATTGAGCGATTACATGTTTGGGACAGATGATGGTCCCTGGACTTTGACAGACTATATCGAAGACTGATCATCTGCCTCTAGCCAAATGTAACCACTTGATGTGTGTATACATGCTTACATGGGTGGACAGCCATGGCTTCTTTCTGCCTATCATTGACTTTACAGCCCGTACAGGCTTTCTGGTTATGCCTGTCCACAAATACTTGGGCTCCCAGCAGCAGATGTCTACAGTATACTTGCTGCACCACGGTCAGTTTGGCCGTGTGAATGAGGCTTCAGAAATAACTGTAAGTGCATATGCAGTTATTTTTGAGTGCAGCAGCAAATATTTTTTCATAGAAGGCCATAAGTTTATGTTATTCCATCAACTCAACTCACCCTACTCCCCCTTCCAGCAGTGAATTTGCAGCTCACCTCATCCTGCTTCCCCTTTCCAGCATCTGCTCCAAGTTTACATTAGAAATTAGAATGCTGCCAAGTCCCAGCCGGGAAAGGGATGAGTTGAGATGCTTAGAGAAAGACTGAAATAACTGCAGTGATTCTGTTGTGATCCTTGAGAATGAATTTCTCACAGTGCCTTCAACTACAGAGGTCAGTGACCGCTGGTTGTAAAGCAAAGGTATTGATCGTTATTAATATGTAAATATTTGAATGTCCATATCTTGAACACAATTAAATTTAAGCAAGCAGGTGAAATTTAGAGAGTTTACTGTGACTAGTTTTTCTGAAATTCACATTTTGTGTTTGAGCTTTCACATTCATATTGTTACAAATTAAGTAAATGGGTTCAGGAACTGTCCATCTGATCACAGTTATTATATTTTTTATATATTCTTTGCTGTCATTTGGAGAGCCATAACCATACTCTGAACTTTTGTCTTTAAAGTGTAGCTGTTATTCTGTTGGATTTTCCACATGCAAAGTCGACCTAGATTTACTTTAACTGAAGACCATGTGTAATTTAAAAATCAAGAAGCATCTTATAGACTTCCAGAATAAGTGTTCTATATTTATGACCACCATATCACTGCTTTTTAGTTGATTAAATACATGATTTTTTTTCTGTTTAACCATATAGATTATGTTTATGCTAAGTGAAATATGTACTGTAGACTGACTCAGCACAAATGTCTTCTAATCTGTAATTGGTGGCTTGTTTACCTTCGCTCTTTCCAACATTTTTGGCTGTGGACAATGTATGAAGCTTTTAGACATCTTTTCCTGCAAGCTGTGAAGAAGTAGAAGTTGTTCCTTGATAATATTTCCCAAATGGTTCTAAGTTCTCACCGTCCTCCTGCATT